TGCAGGACGCATACCTCACCGTCCCAATGGCCGAGGATTGCCAACATTTCCTCCAGTTCAAATGGGAGGAGACCACATGGCGTTTCAAATGCTTGCCCTTCGGCCTCTCCTCGGCCCCATGGTGCTTCACGAAGCTCATGCGGCCAGTGGTCGCTCTGCTACGCAGCAGAGGAGTACGTCTGATTATATACTTGGACGACATGCTTCTGATGGCACAAGACCCACTTTTACTCCAGGAACATCTGATTTGGACAAAGACATTACTCGGCAACCTTGGTTTCCTCATCAACTGGGGCAAGTCGGTGGTACAACCCTCCCAAGTCTTGGAGTTTCTGGGCTTCACCATCGATTCAGTGGAAGGGACACTCCTGTTACCATCTTCCAAAGTCAGGATCATCAAGAAAGAAATCCGCCGAACACTGGCTCGACCTGCACTAACGCTACGGCAACTGGCCAGGATCATCGGCCTTCTCTCGGCCTCCATCCAGGCCATTTTCCCGGGCCCACTTCACTACAGGGCCCTTCAACGCCTAAAGGCAAAATACCTTCGGTCAGGTCTCTCCTATTCAGACTCTGTGCCTCTCGATTGTGCTGCCAAAGAAGAACTCTCTTGGTGGCTGCAGCACATGGAAGCATGGAACGGAAGAGCAATCTTTGGGACGAGGCCGGACTTCGTCGTAGAATCGGACGCAAGTCTGCTGGGCTGGGGCGCGCGTTGCGGTCCTATCTCCACCGGAGGGAAATGGTCCCCAGACGAACAGGAGTTACACATCAATTGCCTCGAGCTTTTGGCGGGGTCATTTGCAGTTCGGAGTCTCGTAGGTATCTCAACCAACTGTTCCATTCTTTTACGGATGGACAACGTGTCAGCGGTCCGCTACATCAATCATCTCGGGGGTACGAAGTCAGTGGTGTTAGCGGAACTAGCAAAAGACTTCTGGCACTTCTGCCTGGATCGCAATATTTCGGTTCAGGCGGAACACATTCCCGGGATGTCCAATATGGTGGCGGATTGGAATTCCAGATACCTACGGGATGCCAGCGACTGGCGGCTGAAGCGGGCCATTTTCCTGCAACTCCAGACACTCTGGGGCCCACTAGAGATCGACCTCTTCGCTTCACGGTTGAACTCCCAACTACCGAGTTTCTTCAGTTGGAGACCGGATCCAGAGGCATTGGCTTCAGATGCCTTCCTTCAACAGTGGCCGGACACGCGAGCGTACGCTTTTCCTCCTTTCTCATTGATTGCGAGGACGCTTCTACATCTCAGGCGCTACCGAACCTCCATGATTCTCATCGCCCCATTCTGGATGGCTCAACCATGGTTCCCTACACTCATGGAGATGTCCATGGACTACCCAAGACTGATTCCAACCTCTCCGGACCTCTTGTTGGACCCCACCGGGGAACCGCACCCCCTACTATTACAGGGACACCTCCAATTACTGGCATGGCTCCTCTCCGGGGACTTGGATTCATCCCGGACGTTCCACAAACAACTATTGACCTTCTGGCGGGAGCTTGGGCTCCGGGAACAAGGAAATCCTACTTACATGCCTGGAATTCATGGAGTGGTTGGTGCATGGAACAACACATGGATCCCTTATCGGCACCTATAAGTCACGTTTTGAGATTTCTCACTTCTCTGTTTGACCATGGCCTAGCCTATCGCACGATAAATGTGTACCGATCGGCTATTTCCGCAGGCCACCAAGGGTTGGATGGTGCCCCGGCAGGTAAACATCTCCTCGTATGCCGACTCCTGCGCGGCATTAGATTTGCACGCCCACCGCAACCTAGATACTCTTCATCATGGGATGTTGACCTTGTCCTCCAGCTTCTGGGAGATTGGCCAAGGAACGAAGATCTCTCACTGAAAAAACTCGCAGCAAAGCTGGCGATGCTGTTTTCTTTGATCTCCTGTAAGCGGGTGTCGGATGTGCGTGCGTTGGACTTCTCTGCACGTTCATTCACCCCCGAAGATGTCTCGTTTAATATTTCCAGGCGTACGAAGACGTCAATCACCTCAGTTTTCTACCCGGCCTTTCCACATAACTCTAAGCTATGCCCAGTGGCATGTCTCAAGGAATACGAGTCCAGGACTTCTTCGATTCGTGATCCTGCATATCCGGAGTTATTCCTAGCCCTTCGTCATCAATATCACCCTGTTTCAACAGTCACATTGTCTCGTTGGGTCAAGTGGATTATGAAATTAGTGGGCATCGACACTTCTGTGTATGGAGCACACTCGGTCAGGGGAGCCATGGCGACTAAAGCATTCTCCAAAGGATGCAGGTTGGAGGACCTACTCTGGGCGGCTGATTGGTCCCGCGAATCTACCTTCAAGGAGTTTTATTTTCGGCCAGTTTCTAATTTTTCAGAGGTGGTCGTGTCACAGCTTTGAACTAGCATAATATGAGCCACCGTGTCCTTAAATAAAATTACCAGATTTTACTAATTTCATGACGTAAAGTCATGATTTTATTAAGGACACGGAGGCGAGTATTATCCCACCCGATGCAGGTAAGTGGTACCCTCCCATAGATAAGTGGTCAGTAAGTTACTACGGATTCAGGTTACTACAGCACACTGCATGTATTGAAAGGTTTTGGTTAGAGGATAATCTGGTTTTGGTGGCATATATTCCGATGACTAATTCTGTAATATGGTACTGTTCAAAGGTCCAGAAACATATTTTACCAGTTTGTTTCTCTGTTCCTTTCAGCTTAATGATCCGGTTTGGCACCGTTGTTCATGGATTTCCTTCAGGACCTACGGGAAGATCCCAGCTTCTGGTGAATACTGGATTTTTCACTGTGGCGGTCCTGGCATTTTGCTTTTTTCCTTCAAGTTGATATGTTCCTATGGATTTTTTTGTCGACAACACCAAGAAAGAGGTGTGGCTTAAGGTCACATGGGGAGTTGAGAGTGCTGAAGGCATGCTGATTGGTTGTATTGTTGTAGGACTAGCCCTTTGGGGCATGTTTACATGTTTGATTTGTTTCTCTAAAATAAATTTTTCTTGCTGCTGAGGAATAAAAGAAAGAGAATAGCATAATATGAGCCTCCGTGTCCTTAATAAAATCATGACTTTACGTCATGAAATTAGTAAAATCTGGTAATTATTGTGCACAATAAGAAATATGGCTGATGCTGGGAGGAAGTGATATCCAGTCACTTCCTTCCACCTTCAGATAGAGCACCACATTGGAGAAGAGGAGAGAGGAGGCACAGGCAGCGTGGGTTGAGAGCAAAGAGAGACCCAGCTCCAGCCTCACACTCTCATCAGCCACAGACAGCACCATGACTCCAGGCAAGCCACCCTGCTGCACATAAAATGTATTTTAACAGGAGGGTGGCCAAAACATACAAATGAATGACATGTATGTGTGTGTATGTGACAGTGTAGGTACATGTGTGTCGGTGTGTTTGTGGCTGGACTCCACATAGTTTATATATTTTCCATTTAGATTGTAAGCTCATGTGCAGGTCTTGTATAAAAGTTCTATAAAAGACAAATAGTCCATGGCCAGGGTTTCCGACCTGTATGTGTGTACTTATATACAGTATTCAGTTCTCTGTAAGATTACCTATTGTTAAATCTTGTAGAGTGTTCTGCATGTGCATACTATGGAGGAACTGATAAATACATATGTGTATGTATGAACAGGGTGTCTGCAGCTAACTAACATGGCTACTCGGGCTCTTAACTCACTTCACAAAGACAGCGATAGAGATTGTCTGATCTGGACCTACACTATTAGCCCATGAACACAATGAGTCAGTTGCCTACACAGAGCATTGAGATACTGACAGCAGATGCTGTGATGTGATTCATGGAGGCTGACCTTTTTTGAGGTAAGGCTTGCATTCTCTCTACCTACATGTGCATATCTATGTGTCTATATGAGTGTGAATCAGCATGTACACAACTGTAGAAAAAAAAGAGAATTGGAGGCACACCCGAAACATGCATTTCTCGGCCGTAGAGACCAAAAATATATACAAATTACATATTAAAGGGATACTATGGTGCCAGGATTACAAAATAAATAGTGCTAAATTAACTAAAGTTGATTCAAATAATCTTTTGTAAGAGCATTGTGAATCTATATAATGCAAATTTAATATGATAAAAACACAATAAAAAAAAAAAGTAGTGGAGTAGCTAAATGATTAAAGTGTTATAGGGGAACTCTGAAGAAGCCACGCACAGAGAGTTCAGGAAGCAAAGGTCTTTATTCTCACCAATCAGGTCTCAGCTGAACTCATGTTCAAAATGTCTGAGCCCTGAGCACATGGAGTACAGGTTTTTTTATAGACTATACATCCCCCATCTGTACCCTTACACCAATCCGCAAACAGTATTTACAGCATTACCTTATATGGATAGGCAGAATGGCACTTGAGGAGAATGGAATGTGGTTTTTCAAATCCAGCAGATGCTCAGTAGATTGGTGCTCAGTATCTTGGCTACACGTAACTAACGGATACATGTACTTGTATATGCCACATGGAGATTTTAGGCCTACTAAATTTTGGACCTAGCTGAAATCCCATCACAAAAGTGATAGTGCTTTTGGAGTATTGTGACCTAGTGGTGGGAAAAAAACAATATGGCCATATGGTGGAACTAAATCCCCATATTTGTTTGCAGAGAAAGGTGATTTTAAGTAGCCTTGTAAAATGTAAAACTGTATGTGATGTTCCCTATTCTGTATCATGCAAATGAGTGTGTGTCTCTTACCTGTCCTGAATTTGTGGTCCTGTCTCACTAGTTAAATATATAACAAAGCAGGCACTTAATTTCGACTTAGTATAATTCATGGGTACACATTTAAAACATTAAAATGTGACATTTAAAATAAAATAAATAAAAAGTCCTTTTTTTTTTTTGCACAGTCTTTCATGTGGTAACAATGTAGAAAATACCAATATTTTCAAAGGTAAATTGTAAGCATGACCTTTTTACTGGAAAAGGCATTCTCGTATGATGTAAAATAAATGGCTAGGACATCTCTCAATATTAGTGCCAGAATATCTGTGAAAGATCCAGTGATCTTGTTATATATCTTGTGCCTGCCATTTGCATGGGAAATTGGTGGGCACATGCTAAGAAGATGTAATGACATAAAGGGGTGCTGCCCTGGAACAGCACTGTCCCTTTAAATGTGGGACCCAATTCAGCAAAGAAATAAATGCCAAGACACAAATTAATAGGGTAAATCAAGAGATATATACTTATTACAGAGAACCAAAAAAACTAAACAATATATATACAATGCCACAAAATATATACAATAAATCAGGATAAGCACGAATAGTGCAGGCAACGTATACTGAAACAGTCCTTTGGTATAAGGGCAGGATTGTGCAGTTACCATGAGTAGTAGGTAGGGCACAGATCCAGAGTCACAAGACTAATATACTGACACCAGGAAGCAAGGTCAGAAGCAGAATAAATGAACAATGCTGCAGGGTCAGGATCACTGGTAATAAGGCAGAGAACACGGAACCAGAACACAGGATCGGAGGGCACAGGAACGAAGGACACAGGAACGCAGGATCAGGAGGACACAGGACGAAGACCAGGAGAACACAGGAACGAAGACCAGGAGGCACAGGACACAGGACAAAGGAACAGTAAGCAGGATCCAGGAGCCAGAATCACAGGGAACCGGGGAAACAGGAGACAAGAGACAATGATCTGGCAAGGAGTGAGGGGAGAAACCAAACTATATATGTGGTAAACAAGGACCAAGTGAAGTGCTTAACAAAAAGAAATTAGGAAAAGTGCCAAAAAAAGATAGTGGTGAATGTGGGTACTGCACGAGGGCAAATCAACTAAGGAGTGTCATGACAGAAGATCCTTTGCTTCCACCATGAACATGTTATCACAGATGTATGCCAATTTAATAAAGAGGCACGGCGTAAATCTCAGATACTTAAAGAATGGTGGGATAAATTCACAATTAACATAGGACTCAGAAATAGAATAAAAGATGTGCTTCCATTTTCTACCATTTCAAATATGTTAAATAATATAAAAATAGATACCTGGAAGACTGGGGGGATAAGGGAAATATAAAAACATATTAGTGGAACATAATATTAAGTCCTTCAACCAAATTATGGAAGAATTTAATATTCCCCCTAAAGAAACTTTTATTATCTGCGAATTAAAGGTTTTATTTCAGAATATCTTCTTAAAAATAAGGGGAAGAAAATCACAAATCTCAGACATCTTCTCAAACTAAAGAACTATAAAAACCTACTGGCAAAATGCCAGAAAGATATATATATAGATGGAGGCATGATAAACCTATGGGACTGATCAACAAATGGGAAAAAGAGCTACAAGTACATATAGAATAAGAAGAGTGGATAAGCTCTCTAAATAAACTACACAAACATATACATTGCCTA